CACACCACCTCGCGAGATCAACGTGTAGCTGGACACTTACACAGTGAGACCCTACGACATAAAAGTTGCAATTTATCTTCATATTTCGTGTAGTTATGCATTTAAAAGCACTTACCTGTTTTTTGAAAACCTTGTCCAACGTAATTTCATATAAATTCTGTATTTTTCTCATTTTTTAGAAACTTGGGACTCCGTTTCTGTTTCTGTCCTCAAAAATCAACAGACGAAGGCACAGATACTAACAAACGAGATTTAAACGAGAGCAACAATTAAGCGTAACAGAGATAGGCATCCATTGTTCTCTGGGTTCTATTCATTCCGACCAATGAGAGACCGTAATACGGGCTCCGCCCCCACGCGTGTAATCTCCTTCTGTTATAACTCCTTGCTTAGACTGGGTTCCCATGCTTAGATCGATGCATCTGGATCAATCTAACTCCCTGGGGAGTCTCACTAAATTACTGTCAACTAACCGGCTTAAATGTCTGTCACGCCTACCGAATCATCTAGGGGGCAAAGATAATTAGCCCCTAACAGCTTTATTGGGTGTGACGGACATTTAAGCCGGTCAAGTTGACAGCAATTTAGTGAGACTCCCCAGGGAGATAGATCGATCCAAATATCTGTGGGAATGGTCCCTAAAATTATAGCCCTTGAATTGATTAAATCGATTTGGATGATTTCGATTTCCCAGGGCCCGGGTGTTAAAGACCGAGGCACAGTTTTAGTTACATGCTAAGTTTCTGGTCCCGCTAGTTTAGCGACTGCTCATTCTCAAAAAGCAAACGTCTATTCAGTTCACGACTCAAGGTCAGTAGTTCAGCTGATTACTGACAGTGTGTGCTGGCCATTCAAGTCATGAAACACTTCTCAGGCCCGTAGCCAGCAATTTCAAAGTGAGGCGGGGTTCTTTTTCTCGAAAAGTGGACCTTTTACCATGAAACATTAGTGTACCTAAACAAAAGTTTACCCAGAGGAGACCTTTTCCCGGCAAAAAGGGGGGGGTTCTTACGAACGCACCGAACCCCCCCCCCCCTCACCCCCACCCCCCACCCCCCGGCTACGGACTTTTACATCATGCAATTAAACAAATATTAAAACGCCATTCTTTTTAATATTTTACGTTGCTCCGTTTAAAATTAGAAAAAAATCTTATTCCTCCTCTGAAGCGAGCACACATGAAAGACAATTTCGTTTCGAGTTGAAAAGTCAACGGGTGAGTGAATCGCAAAAGAGGATCAATGACGTAAGTAAGTCTGTATTTCTTCTTTGATGGAGACAGGTTTTAATATATATATATATATATATATATATATATATATATATATATATATATATATATATATATGTTATATCACAGGAGTAGGCAACAAACAGCAGATTTACCCAATATCTCTGCGTTTTAACAAATAATTGATTGTCAGATATCACAATCTAAACAGTGGCTTAGTCTTAATTTTCATTTAACGCCTGGAAGAACGAATGATACGGTGCACAGTTAATGAATCCGCCCTACACTTCGGAGCATCTCTCTCTCCCTTTCTATCACCCCTCTCTCTCTCTCTCTCTCTCTCTCTCTCATGTTTGTCAAGACAGCCAAGCTACTCTCACGCAATGTCTTTTTACATGGAGATTCAAAATTCTGAGTCTAAGCAATGTGAACAGTTCTACTCGGTTTGGCATTTGATAGGTTTGAACAGTACCCTAATAACGGTATAAAAATATAATCACGATATTGATAAAGACGAATGTCATCATCGGTGACAGAAAATACATCTAATGCTATGAAATAAAAAAATACACCGATATTATACGAAGTTGGTACATGAATCGAGAAAAGTCACTGTAACTTTTTCAAAGTTGGACGGCTAACAATGTCTTGAATTAGATCTTTTTTAAAATTTGCCCAGTCCTCTTTCATTTGTAAATTCTTCTGAAGTGCGTCTTCCGAGGGGTAGGGGCGAGCCAGATTCCGGACCACGTGTTTCACTTTCTCGTTGGCGTTTCTGGCAAAGAACGATTTGGCTAGCATCACGCATTCTGCTCCGCGGCTAACCTGATGAAAAATAGAAGTGATCATTGTAACACAAACTACGTTTATGGCATTTTTCACCAGCATGACAAACAAGTTCAATATGGGCAGAAATTAATTATTCTGCAAAATACTCTAGCTACACTGAAACATTAAAGTTACGGTGGCGCATTATGAAACTGAAAAGGATTTTTCACTAAAATAGTCAACATTGCTCTCATTTACATAAAAAAGTAGAAAACGTAGCTCTGATAAGACAGAAAAAAGTATGCAATCGCTTTTTTTTTCGAAATATCTCACTTACCAGGCTAACTTTGGTATTCGGAATCTCCATTTCTAAATCGAATTTCACCGTGTTGAGACCCTAGATTAAAAGTTAATATTGAGATTTTGAATATTTTAACAATTATCTCTCCATTCATATAGCGACACAGTTATGAGTGCGTGAAGACCTCGGAAATTGTGCTTTGTACTTTTCCAAATTGATAAAAGGACGAAACAAGGGCCATTCCCTTCTCTATCATACCAAGACATAAATTATTTAAGTTTTCTAAGCCAATTTTAAAATAAATGCACGCTGATAGAGAAAACGTGGATCGTTTCATTTGACATTATGTCAAGGAAAATAAACCCATGTAGTAAACATAAATTTTAAACACACTTACAAAAATATCCCTTGGTTTCAACAGGTCCACCTGGACGTATACGGGCTGCGCTTTTGGGGGCTCCGACTTCCGCCTCTGTTTAAAGACGTCTTCCCGGGGTGTCTCCACCTTCAGAATGTTAAGAAGTGTCGACCATTGGTTCACCTGTAGGGGTTCCTGTGGCTGTGGCGTCGATCGTTTCGGCGTTTTCAACTCCGGGGAGGGGGACGGAGACTGATAATAAAATGTAGTCCAGTGTAATTTTCTAGTTTGATATTATTTACCGAATTTTTATGAATGCAGCTTCTTTATAAATTTGCGGTGGTGAATACAAAGGAATCCATTACCAAGATGAAATATTCATGTCCACAAATTTTGACTGAGACAATGATGTAACAAATATGAGACATCTAGCAATTCCTGCAAAGCCCATATAAAATGCATATATACACTACAAAACACCTCTTCAACTTACAAAATGCGCGGTCTTTTTCATTTCAGGAAAACGGCTGAGCTTGCTTCTAGAGTAACCCGGCGTCCTTCCGGGTACGGGTCGCTCCACTCCGTCCCTCGAGCTGGGGTCAACACTCACTAACGCCTTCTCCTCCAACACCGGCAGACGACCTCCCGTCAACTACAAATTCAATATCATTTGTTAAAGAAATCTGTCTTTGCCTGTTTATCTGCGGAGGTAGGGGGGAGACGTAACCAAAAGTTCTGCATCAAACCCTTAAGAAGTCCTGTGAGAACCAAAACTATTTAAATTCTGAAACGTATTCCTACTCCAAACAAGCAGAATTGGAGCTAGGTATTGCTATGCATTAGGAATAGGCCTAGGTGATGGATCTTACATATATCATCGTTGTATTTAACATTGGATTCGTTTAATACCATCTGGCTATGTTAAGAAGAGTAAATGAGACTAGGCATAGAGTAAAAAAAAGGAAAAAAAGAAAATCTTACTCTCAAGGAGTCCTCGTATTCCGTCATTGCACGCCTAAGTGCAGTCGGCATTGTGTACGACCTGTGCCTCTTCTTCCCCGTGTAAATCTTTGGGGCTGAAAAAAGTTAATAATATGTTATATTAGAATATTCAAATTAATGTCAAGGGAGAACCAGAGGATTCGTACCTTCTGGCTAAATGCCCCCCCTAGCCCCCGTTAAACACCTTGGACTGCCCAATGGGTTTAACACCCTGTTTCACGATAGGGACTGATCATGAGGGTCAGTGCTGTGATGACCAATACCTTTTTAATTTGGGCAGGGGCCCAGGAAGCTGCATCCCCCTCCGCCCCCACCCCCACCCACCCCACCCCGCATTCCCACCTTATTTAACCCCGATGTGACTCTGAAATCACTTTGATCCCAAAGTAAAAGTGCAGGCGTTAGGCGAAGCAGCTTGGGAAAGCATTACGATATTGATAAGTTTATAGCGTAAGTTCGTTATAGCAAAGGTGCCTCTACTGAGTGTTTTTAACGCTTTAAGCTAAAAGTGGCTACTGCATTATACTTGAAATGATGAAATTGTGAATAAAAGCATTAGCAGACATGCTATAATTGAGCAAAAACCAAACTGAAAGTAATTTCAGTTAGCTTTTATATGAAAAGGCGAACAAAAATTCAGGTAACAATAATAAAGCATTAACCTTAAGAAACTATGTTATCACTTGAATATGCGTTGAAAAGCAATGTCATTGTTTTGAAAATAAGCAATGCAACTTAGGTGAAAGGCAAATTAAGCGCAAAGTTATCCGAAAATTAAGCAAATAAATTTTCATGCAGTTAAACATATAGCAAACAAAATATAAGCAGTTGAACTAAGCATAAACTAAAACGTATTTTAAAGCAACTAAAATATATTGCAACTGAACTGAACATCAACTAACACGAAGCAACTAAAATGCGTTAATGAAATAAAAGCAAAAGCAAAAAAAGCGTGCACATACCAGCAATAGCCCCAGACAAGCTCAGAATACCTTGCTCGGCGGTTCCTAATTTTGGTAACCGCATTGTGAGATCGTCCATAGTTTTACTGCGTTTGTGGAGTTTGAGTCCTTGGGCACCGTTGAGTTCTTTCATCACTTGACATGTGCCCTGAAATGAGGAACACAATGGGCATCTCAACCGAAACACATAACACATTCCTGAGAGCAAACGACACGAATGACTTGAAACTAGCTCGCGGAACGACAGGGGTTTGTCGTTGTTTTCATGTCAAAATATTTAGCTGCCAGCCGTATACATGTGAAACCAGCATTCAAAGAAACATTGGAGGGTATATGAAAACACACACACACACACACACACACACACACATGCACACACACACAATTTCTCCAAGTTCATCGCATACGATTTTCAATCTTCTGCGTGTTACAATGTGTGCTACTGAAAACCTTTACTTTTTGAAGTACATAGCAAATGAAGTACATTTTAAGTACAAATTATAATAAGCCCTTGTGGGGATTTCTATTAAACGCGCCACTGTACCTACCGATTTTATAATATATATCCAGTCGGACTGGGAACTGTCCTGCACTATGACTTCACCACGTCTGAATAAAAAGAAATACATACATTCACAAACTGGCTGTTATAAGGGTTATATGCCATAGTTTTCATCATTTCTTAGTGTTTTCATTAATTCTAGATTTTGACCCTAGGTCTGTAAACATAATGAGTCGTAAATGGGCAATATATATCGGTTTTTCTCCGTTAAGGTTAGGGTAAAAAAATGAGGAAACAATACATAAACCAATGCAATCAGATCAATTCTAGGGAATGCGTTACGTTTCTTGGTGATATTGCGGTGATTTTTTTTCCAGTGAGACTAACCACTGCAAATACAATAAACCTACTTGAAGAAATGCAGCAGACAAACTTCAGGGTTCTCCAGTATTTTCTCCATTGGAAAGTCTTTTGCGAATTCAAGTTGACTGAAACGAAAAGTAGTTACGGATAAAATAAAAGCTACTGTAGAACATCATTTGAATTTGAAAGCATAATAATTCATTTCAGAAAAGGAAAAAGAGAACATATTTAAATCGGCAATGGTAGGAATAATTGAAAGTGAATACTAGGCTTTAGAACAGGGCCATGTAAAAATAAAAGAGAGAAAACGGATGAAGGAACTAATCAAGTGACGTACCTAAGGAATTTCAGGTGTTCAGGCAGTTCCCCGGGGTTGGCACTTTGGCCCATAAAAATATCGAAGAAGTCATCCCGTCCAATGGTCAGCAGCTGGACAGTGTCCTGGCTGACCACTGTGGCATTGCGGAGTTGGTGATGGAGGAGAGCTAGTTCCTGTAAATTGAAATTACAGTTAGTCAACTCTTTAAAGGTGTGTGTGCATGTGGAATGTGCTGGACCGAAAATCGGCCTTAAACGCGTCGTGAGATTTTCGAAGACCAAAAAAATTAATTAATACAAACAAATGTATGAATGCAGTCATATATGTCTTGCCCTAGAGATGAAAGGGATGTATTGTTTTAGAAACAATGTATTGTTTTAGAATGGGTGTTCTTTGTTATCCAGTTGTGACGGGTTTTGGGCTGATATCTGGTTTTCGGTAACACGGTCTGAACACATCTTTGCAGTTATGTTACATTGTGTCAGTAGCATGTTCAGAATATTCGAAGATAGACTTAAGTATAATACAGAGGTCTCTAACCTTACAGACCCCAGAGTCAAATCCTGATGCAAAACGTGCTTTTGGTGATATCATTATATCATTTTAGATATTCTTATTCACTTTTTATAGTGTGCTGTAGCCTATTCCATCTTGATACATAAATGCCTGTTTTTTCTATGCTGTACATTAACACCTGTTTTTTTAACCAGATGTACAGTTTCACGACCTGTATGTCACAAAATTTAGTATTAACTCTTAAATAATTAGCTGCGATAAAAAGCACCCAAATCCCCTGAGTTTCAGAGCCTTATCAACGACTTAGACTCTTCAAAAACCCGTCATTTTAACTATAAGCCTACCTACAGGGGGAAGGAGCACGTATGCGGCCGTGTTTTTTTAAAGAAGAGTTATCGTAACGAGTGTTCAACGCAGGAGTTAAATAACTATCCATTGTGTAGATTTTTTCTTATGGATTTCAGTGACATAAAAACACGCATCATTTATCCACGTGTGACATCTTGGCCGTGAGGACTGGCACGTAGGCAACATACAACATGTCCTAGTTTTTTACTATTATAAAGGCTAGATTACGTAATGTTATAACGTCCTCGTTTTGCACGCTGTCAAGTCGAATCGTACATGCTGGGTGAGTAAGAAAACCAGAACACGCTGAAATTTCGAGTGAAAGAGTAAACATGTTTGCAGTCTTTTGTGAATTAAAAAAAAAACACAAGGGCATTCTTTGAAAGATCGGAGACGCGTATTCGACAGTTACAAAGGTTAAAATGGGTAACGTTTATAGTGAACAGGATCTTAAAACATTTATATTTTATATGAATGTTTTTATATTTGTATTTGAGTACTTTGTGTAGCTACAACTAGGCTGTATTACAAAGATTTCTGTACAACCCCTTTCGTATACTCCTATCTCAATGTACTTGCTACCCTGATCTTGGTTTCCCTATTAAAAATAAACGGGTTATATTTTTCGCTTGCTCCATACGAGGTGCACATAGAGATATGAATAGACAAACTTATGAAAAAAATTTAGATCCTTAGATAATGTACTAACCCCCCACACCTCTGGGAATTAACTCTTACCTAATATTGGTTGTATTAGAGTATAGTAGCTGAGAAACGGGCCGTAATCCTCAAGAAACCCCGTTTCTCTCTCTCTCTCTCTCTCTCACTAAAATCAGTATTGTTTTACAACCTATGCATGCCCGACGTAGATATCCCAAAATGAGTTAAAATTACATAAAAAAATTGACTGTAAGAATGAGTGAATAGCGAACGATTCATCTCTTACCTTTACAAACTTACGCAGTGCTGCCAAGTCTACGCCTGACATCTCGTCTATAGTGATAATACTCGAGCTCCTTAGACGGTGTTTAATGTTTTAATATTTGTGAAGATCCTTGTAGCTTAAACTACAGCACATGCTGGCGCCCTCCCTCACACCGGAGTCTCATAATTCCTGTTCAGATCTCTCAAATATAGTAGTCTGTGGTAATAGGATGTCAAAAATAAATTAAACTTATATATGGTCTTCTGCCACCTCAATAATATATAGTAATTACGACAACAGATGTAGAGCTCTGTTGTTACGTGAACTAAACGAAACGTGCCTCTTCAATGTAAAGACGTGGACCGATATTTTCCTTCTACACAACAGCAAAAAAAAATCACTCCTACTTGCCGAGAAGCCAAATTTGAGATCCTGCTATGGTGTTTTTTATGCTTGTGCTCTAATTATATCCAGCATAAACAACAATCCCGTCACCAAGGTGATTTTCTGCTAAACTTAACCGTAAATGCCCTACGTGACACCTGGAAGGACGGGTGGTGTTGAAAACCACCCCTTTTTCTAGACCACACTTTTTACAAACCACACATCAATTTTATTCCCACTGTTTATTTCAGTTGTTGAATAGTCTTTATTCTTCATCGCACAATCGTTATTTTTCATCCCTTGGTCCCGTTCGTATCCAAGTCCAAGAAAATAGTTGTAAAAGTTGTAGGTCACGGCGGGAAACTTGTACTCTCCTCTACCAAGGAATTATATCAAATATAATTCCTTGTTTATGCAGAGTAATTTTGTTTACTCATTTTCCAGTTTATTTATTATTTTACGTTCACCATTAATTCGTGGCTTAAATGCTGCTTGACAAATATATCTGCTAAGAGTTCGCAAAATGAGAATAAAGCTTTTTTGAAACTGATGGGGTTTTTACTGGACTTAAAAGTATTTCAGAAGAATACGGTCGATACTACATGTAGATATCTAAGAACGATAGGTTGTAACCTTAAGAATTATCAAACTTCAGTTTTGGCATGAAAAAATAAAACGATGGACTGACAGTGAGCCCTATGGCTTAATCACTACGGATACCATAATGCAATTGTAATAATTTATGATAGGCTTATACTGTACTAAGGCATGTAAAAGAGACTGGTCCATATTGCCTGTCGTTTTTTTTTTTTTTTTTTTTTCGCATGATCATTCAATACTACTGCTTTGAAAAGAGGATTGGTTATGAAGCCAATTAATATAGCATTTGTTCCTCTCCCTCTGATGTCAGTGAGAAAAAAAATTCGCGCCGTCTGAATGTTATTTCCCATTTGGGTTAGTATTGAATCTAATCGCTCGAATACTGCAGCCACAGAAGGTTTCAAACTGAATTCACGGGGGGTTACAAACAAACACGTTATTTGAGTGTAATGTGTGTCTAGTGCTTCAAAGTCAATTAAATCAGCTGCATTAAAAGTGGCATACATTTCAGGGCAAAATAATTTGACCAGTCAAAAATGTGTGTTGGATGAATCGTTAAAAAAGAATCTCGTTTTTTTTCTACATTCCTGAATACACTACTGTAACAAGGAATCGGAAGGGTCTAAAGGCTTGGGGTATAAAACTCGATTTAAACATACATCTAATGTGGTTAATGAATAAATTTCATTTCGTCTCATTTATATCTTAAGGAAGTATATTCTATAAAAAAGAATAATTTACGACCTTAATTCTGCTACGGGCTTCTGCTACTTTCCCAATGTAAACCCCCCCCCCCCCCCCCCCCGTCCTAATGTGCTCCCCCCCTCCCGTCACGATTTAGATTTTTTAATGCATTAAGCTTTAACTTAAGCGTCTGTATTTTACTGGCAGGAGAATGGCATCTCTTTCCAAGCCACTGGATGCAGCCCTTAATTGAGTCACAAGTAAATATTTACATATGAACTGGAAATTCGCTACCTGTCATCGTATGGCAGATGACTGCGAACATTATGAAATCTAATTATGAAAAATGGGAGGAAGGAAAACGTGGTGTGCCAGTTCACATAAACCATTTTTCAAGCTGGAAGGCAATAAATGAGTTTTTGTAAACATCCAACTGAAAACGTGGTGGAGTGAGATTAATGCATTGGACCACCGAGGACAGACGGCAACGAACATTAAAAATTTGGTGAATAATTGCCAGAAAAGAAAAGAGGCGTATAGGCTTAAGTGTGCACATGCTTAAGTAATTTTTCATGATGTTTAGCTACAAAAAAATAAATAAATGAAAAATTTCTTTTAAGATTTATGGCGGTCACGCTCCGAACCGTACAACCCGTTTTTCTAAGGGGAAGGTTTTTCTAAGGGGAAGGTTTAAACGCAGTTGATAAGGGCAGACCTGGTGCAAGCCTGGTTTGGCACATACTGTCGACTTGATATTAGACGACAAGGAAACGAGATGCATATGCTTATTTAATGTTCTGATTAATGTAATTTCCAATGAACTTGGATCAAATCGCATGCGTTGATAAATGCAAACGTCCCTGAGATTTTCCATCCACGGGATTTATTTACAACAAGCATAATATCTTTCAACAGCATTATTGTACTTTGGCCTAATGCAGCTACCCTACACTCTGGGGTCCTCTAGTAGTCTGTTACAACATTGTCCTATACTTTGATTTTGTATACTATTTTAGAGGCCCATGATATCAGAGAGCACCTTTACTCGTGCATCAGGCCCACTATACGTGACGCCTTCGTCAATGTTTAATCCCCTTGTGTGCCTCTGAAACTTAGACTGGGTTCCCATGCCTAGATCGATCTAACAGGATCGATCCATTTTCAAGGGGTTTCTCGCTAAATTGCTTTTAGCTTAAGCGGCTTAGATGTCTGGCACGCCTACTGAAGCCACTAAACGATTATTTAATTACCCCCTAACAGCTTTAGTGGGCGTGCGAGACATCTAAGCCGCTGAACTCGATAGCAATTTAGTGAGAAGCCGCTTGGAGATAGATCGATCCAAAGTTAGTACGATAGGATCTGGGAATGGTCCCTTAGGATAACCACAGTGCATGTGAATGAAACATGATTTAATAGTCTAACACCCCATTTCCATAGATTTTTAGATCGATCTATCCCTGTGGGGAGTCTCACTAGATAACTGTCAGATTGGCCGGCTTAGGCGTCTGTCCCGCCTACTAAAAGCTGTAAGGGGGTAATTAACTATGGTGCCCGCTCGGCTGCCTGCAATTTAGCGTGAACCCCCAGGGAGTTAGGTCGATCTAAATCTTAATCTTTAGATCGATCTAAATCTCTGGGAAAGCACCCTAAGATTGTAAAACTGCTTAATGGTGTTTTAATGCCGTTAACTGTGATATTGGAGCTCCGGTCGTTTGAGATATTTAATGCCTTTTTTAACTAATGTTGTCAATGATTTAAGGTGCATGTAATTCATCGAGAAGGATGAAAGTTGCAGTAAACCATTGCATCAAGAGAAAACAATTCAAATTGTTGACAGTTTGGTTGATAGCAAAAATTAAAAAGAAAAAAAAACAAAGACTTAAAAAAGAGACTCACACACTCAACATATATTAAATAATTATGTTTTGGGTCGCCCAAAGAATTAGAGTTTTACTTGTTTACAGTCCTGCCCCCTCTTAACATCTTTTATCAGAATTCATAAAATCTAAGGTCAAACTCGATTTTTTAATCATTTTTATCAATATTTCATTGTACTCACCCCAAAACTTTGTCCTTTCTTTAGCGTTTTAACGGCTCGGAGCTGCGTCTCCCCAGTTATTGCGTCGCGCTCAAGGAGCGTCACCATGGCTGAAAAAGGCGGCGATTGAATATAAATTACAAAAAAAATGTATAATCATAAAAGTGAATCTGTTTAGGGCATAAAATATTTACCTCCTTTCATATGCATATCTTTTGAAATATTAAAAATTCTCCAGATGTACACAACTACAACTGATACCATAGGTCCATTTCATTAACTACATTTTAGTAAAACACAAGTATGTACTGCATACAGTATGTATTATGGAGGAAAATTAATAAACTAACAATAAGATAAAGTTAACATTTACCGTGACCAGAGAGTATGAAATAAAAGTTCTCGGCATAATGTCCTTGTCGTATGATGACACGCTTGGGAGTCACTCTGAAATATACAAATAAAACTGGAGTTTATCTTTAAGATTTTGACCAAAAAGATGGTCTCGATATTCGAGTATATTCACAACTAACAGATTACACGGGTATTGAAACGATATTTTCTTCACGAGAGCAATAACTTGTGTACAAATGATTACATTACTAGACTAGCAATAACGTTTACCTGAGATAAGAGACCTACATTATGAAATTATGTGATGGTGGAGGTAGCACAATGCGATAGTTGAGATCGGAATAATAGTAACAGCACAATCAGGCATCGCATAACAAAAGGAATCCTGTTTTATCCAGATCCATGACTAGACTCTAGATATAGCCCGTCTATACCTTGGTCACACATGTAGGCCACAGCAACATTATACAGCGTATTATTTTTATTCGTTTTGTTTTGAAATCACGAAGAACTTACGTTTGGAAAAAAGCTACTTTGCACAGTTTTTCTTGCATATGAAGTGGATATTCGGCAAATGATCGCAGATGTTGAAGTCCATATAAAACCTGAAGAGCAAAAAAATATATTAAAACATGAATAAAACAGTCCAATCTACTGGATTTCTTCTCTTCCTTTGCTTGCTAGTTTTTGAAATTGCCTTCATTTTTGAAAGACTTAGTTTTTGTAACAAGACAAGGCGCGGTTATCGAACGAAGTAAGGCTCTCCAAGAAGTTGTACACTGTAGAACTTTTTGGGTTCTCGTTGTCTGTAATGACTGCTGCTGTTGTATTTCTCTTTTTGGTCAAACAAATCAAAACAAACATATCATTTTCAACATTTGCCTCTCTTTAAATGTTTTTTTTTATTTCATTAATCCATCCATTCATTAATTTCTTTATTCATTCTTTTTTATTTATCTTTTATACGTTTTGAGCAACGGGTAATTTGGTTTGTGTATCCGTTTGGAGAACACATATTATCAAGATAATTAACGAGAAGTATCATACCGACTGGACTTGGTCGGGGGTCCTCATGGCTTTGGGAAGGTTTAAAATATATTGCACGTCCTTGCTTATATTGATCTGGAAAAGGATGTAATCTGATATAAATTAAGTTTTTAGCATCCAGACACAGGTATACAAATAAGCGTATATGTATACCATAACAGCAAACATTTCATCGAAACGAAAATCGGTCATATTTTGCGGCACAGCTTAAAACTCAGTGGTATCTGTGATTGGTATACGGAGAGATATGCAGAGATAATTAACCAAATAGAAAAAAAACGTACTATTCCTTTCAAACTATCATTGGTAAGAATTAGACTGTGATTATAAGTAAGTTATACAGTTCACTTTATTATTTAGTGTCAAGAGCTTAGAAAAATAAGTATCAACAAGGTCGATTCGTTGGAAATGCAAAGGGTACAAAAAAACTCACGTCTTTTTTGGCTTTGAAATCTGCTGGATCAAAATGAACGTCCGAGTTCGCCATCCGCTGGCTGCTCAGCGCCTGGGCAAAGTCGCTGAAACTGGAGGTTTTCTCGGCGCCTTGGGATTCCTCCTCGCCTCTGAAAATTAGCAAAATATAAAATTAACCAAAAATAATTAACATTTGCATTTAGTATCAGGTAAATGATCAGTTTTCAGTACGTCAGTGATCTATTAAAAAGTAATGGATTATATTGTAAGTATAAATAACTTGCACTGCAAATTTTGCAGATTCTTATTGTAGTCACGAAATTGTACATGTAGGTATTCATAGAATATTTCAACACGACACTTTCACTGGTAAGCCCCAAGCATTTGTTATAACAGATGTGAAATCACTTGTGATATTTTTCAACTCAGAACGGAGATTTTCATTTGAAGAGTAACAGCCTTATACATGTAAGAACTTATTGTGAAAATGTGGAAGCTTTCAGTCCATTCTTAAGCATGCAGAAATTTGACTGCAGTGAGAACTCTATGGTCACTAGTTAATGACGTCACATATATGTTATGTGACGCCACATATATCATATATGACGCCACATATACCTAAGCAGGGTTCTAGGTCGCAAGTACAACACTGTTGCAGCAGGGAGCACACTTACTTTTCCATGATCGCTGAGATCCATTGCTGTAGATGCAGAATAATCCGGATAGTCCTGCGGAACAGTGACCGACCCTATGAGAGACAAAACTGAGATTAGATCAGCGCATTTGATTAATGAATGGTTTCTACAGCATAAAGCAAAACAATTGTTGTCTTTCACTAACTAATGAAAAAAAAAACAGAAATGTAGCAATGCCATAGTTTGGATGCCTTTTGACTTTTTTATAAATGAACTTAATGGTCGTCGTATTGGCAAACCCGTTACTTTACGTATGACCTCTAGTTAGGCCATATTATTACTCTTCGTGATAAATTTCTATTCTCTCGGAATTTCTGTTCTCATAATATAACGCCACGCGCGCGCGCACACACACACACACACACACACACACACACATTGAGTATCTTTGATATAACTCTCCGTCCACAAGAAAGACGTACATCAAACCCTGGTCGTATATTACTCTTGTCTCGGAATGCCTTTACTTCCTTTTGCAACATTTTCTGTTCCTCTAAGGACAGTGTCTTTGGCACTTCTGCAGTCACAATTTTGGGAAGAACAAACGTTTCCTGTCGTCTCACAGGTCCAGATTTTTCCGATCGAAAAGATTTTTTCGAAGAGCGCGTGGAAGTTTGAGTCCCTTGTCGACTCAGTTGACTCACGCGACTGTTTTGGCGACTCCCCATCTTTGGGGTATCTAGTAAGACGGGCATTTTGTCGTTGGCGTCTTCTGCGTAGTTGCTTATAAAAGTTGAAGTGCTGGAGAAACTGGAAGTCCTAGGTCGCAATTCGTTTTCTCTGAAAGAGTTTCGTAGAGATTCACTTAAGTCGTTGTCGTCGTTGTTTACTCCTGACGTTTGTTCAGAGTATTCCTGATGTCTTCCCGAAACTATAGGAAATCGCGCGCGGCTAAGTCTCGCAGAGCTGGAAGATGGCGTTCGGGTTAAAACGTCTCCATTCTCTGTTACTGTGACAGGTTCCGCGACACGTAGAGATGAAGAGGAAGAACAATCTTCGGCTCTCCTTGTCCTCCCAGAACAGTTGCCTCCATCTTGCTGTTTAGCAGTTTGGTCAGCGGACAAATGCAAGTGGGGTCTGCGCGTTGCTGAGGCGCTGCTATTGTCCCCTTTCAGAACACCTGATGAAGCGGACATTGTTCTTTCATACGTAAACAACGCTTTTATTCAACTAATGCAATATGAGTTTTCGAGAACAGTACTGTTTTCTCGCTTGAATGTTTATGATATAGACGCCCTCATTGAAAGTTACAGACCTAGAATGCAAAGATCAACACAGGTACATATAGTTATTGTTGACAAATTTAAACTGGTTTCTTTGTAAAAGTTACGTGTAGCATTCGCCTTCGGTTAAGTTACACTAACATTACATTGTGATAGCCTTTCTGGTTTTATTTGTCGAAGATTATATTCCTTTCAAAGGAAATCGTTGGTGAAAAAATCCTAGTTACTTTTCACGGTTCTTTATTAAGAAAATATGTCGATTGGTTTAAAATAAGTTAGGACAGGTGCGCAGACAACTTGTTTTTACTAGTATGGACAAAATGCATCAGTGAAATTTTAGGTATAACTGTTTTGTTAACTTCAGAAAAAAATCAGCACCTAGTTATTACAATAATAACATCAACCGCCGGCCAAAATCATAGATATTGTACTATTTCCACATGTTTGTCTTTCAATTTATTTTCTTCAGGGAATCGGTTATTGATGCAGCCTCTGCCCGAGGTGAGCAGTCAGCTTACGTTCAAATATTTTTTGTGACAATAATTCCTTCAGGCATTCTGTCTAAAATTAAAATGACGGATCAATGGTTCAAGAAAATATCACATTTTTATTATTTTAGTGTAACATAGCCAAAAAAACATACTTGCAAAAGTCTGATGTCATCTTTTTTTCTGAAAATTTGCCAGTAAAAACAAGTTTTATATTTGACGCACTACGTGGCACTACGAGTCAGACACAGCGTGAGAAATTCTGTAGAGTGCTAAGGTTATTTATCTTTTCAAAATTATTTTCTGTGTAAAAGGGCTATTTGGAAATCAACATTGTAACAAAAATATTGTTTGATTTGCAAAAATATTTACCGATCAAAAAATGAAGTTCAATTTTTGCGAAATCATTTGTAGAATCAAAATATTACGTTTCAGTACAGGTTTGTCTCTTTTGAGCCATCTTCTTATTTAAAATATTGTAACCGCTTAACTATCCTAATTCACATTATTATTATTATTATTATTATTATTATTATTATTATTATTATTACGTTTTTAATACATGAGGGTTCTTACCTTCTCGTAGTAAACCATCCATTTTCTATAATCAACAAATATATCAAGAAATTTCAAGAGTTGTGGAGTAGATGATAACAGAAATCTGGGCCCTTGACTTTAAGCTTCGAAGTGTCTAGATACCCACTCTTTTGATAAAACATCTTCGCATGTTTCTTTCTTGCAGATACACTTCAATTTTGTGATCCTAGCATGAAGTCCGGTACATAAAAAAGGTAAAAATAAACAACAAGATCGTTATACATGTAGCAGGGATCTAGCCGTGTGTCCGTGTGTCTGGAAAACATGGTCGACAAGCTTTGCTTGGATGATGCCCGATTCGCTCATGTCCGTCGAATCCTGATCACCAACATGACGGCTTCAAACTCCCACCAGTTAAATTCTAAATTTCCCTGTGACTTTGTCAAGTTGTTCGTTCTCTAGTTGTCGACCTCAGCAAGTGTCCACCAACAATACATCGCATTAGCTAAATTCCAAACTAAAACAAAACAGAAGCTATATGTAATGATCCCTCATTGAAGACCGTAGCAAAAATGAAGACGTTGTTCCTCTTAAGATCGCCAATTTGCAGGATATCTTTTTCAAAGTGTCATCTTGTTTCCCTAGCGTTCATTTGCCGATCGATTTTGCCTCTCACATCAATGTATCGCTTCACTGGACGCGTAACGTTTCTCTTTGTAACTTTCCCTCTCAATGAAAGGGTCAGCAGCCAACGGCCTGTAATGTCAGGAACTCTGCTTCAACCCTCTATAGCTGAACTGTGATCTGCATATTTTGTTTCTTTTTACTCGCCATTAATTGTTTTATTCTGTGAGTTGAATTGAGCGTTAAATAATTTCACACGGATAACAAAGAAAAGCAATAATAAGCACAATATGATTTAAATCGCTTTTATGTAAACTCTAACGCGCGTGTGTCATAACTTTACCTCTGGGTTTTAGAAAGGCGTATTTTCCTAGCAGGGAAAATTAATACAGCGTGACAAAAAATCCTGTCAGGTTTTTTAATTATGTTATTGACTCAGGTATCAGTTTCAGCAAAACACACATTATATTTACACTGTATGTCGTGGTAAACGTAACCCCAAGGCATATCTTGAAGACGTGATTATCTCAATCCATCACCCATAAACTATCAATATTTGCCAATTGGGTATCGTATTGAATGGAGCGTATCGGATAGCACACTCTTCACACATATACTCAGGTTTAAACATAACATTCAAGAACCCTGCAATTGTATTGTAACAATTACGACAATATTGAGTTATAATGTATTATATATCCGCGGTTTATGTGTATGTGGCACTGTCGCCTGGAAGTTTTGCTTGAAACAGTGCGATTTGTAGACGTCTTTTTGCGCTTGGTCGTTTTCATTGTTTTAGAAAAGCCCCCATGTAAGCGCCATGAAAAATAAACTGCTAAACAAACTTGCTAGTGAATATAAGACAGATTGATTTTTTAATCAAAAATAAATTGTTTGAAAGCATAAGAGGAATGGAATTTTTCAGTCCCTTTTTTATTTGCTAATCTATGACTCGACCTTGACATACTAAAATCTTAACCTCCTTTTATTAGAGGAGGAGGGGTGGCAAATTCGAGTGCACTCAGGGAGGTGAATAAAATCAGATATGGAAATGAATTTTAGGGGCTATCAAAGAAAAAATTATGATCGGGAAGACATTGTTTCGAATGAATGAAGAAGAAGTTTAAATTAGAAATTAACGGAAATAAAGGAAAAAGTGACGAAGCGTGATCAAAATGTTTATCATGGCGTATTTCGCGCCAATGATTCGCCTTTGATTGTATTCACGTTCCATAATGAAATGCTTTCAATATCAATACAGAAATGGCTTGATTATGTAACTGAATAAAGGAACAAATCAATAACTAAACAATTTGATAAATAAACAGCTCGATAAGTAAGTAAGTGAGTAAGTAAATGAAGATCAAACGGCAGCGTGGTCGTACATGTAATTTTGAGTTCTAGTAACTCACATTTTTACTTTGAAATATTCCTCAACAGGATAAAAACTTATACATGAATGTATATACCCACTTTACATAGCAAGCCTTGCCCAGTTTCGATAAATATTTTGATAATACATTTTCCTCTAAATTAAAAGATTCTGCTTATGAATTTTAGTATACATTACCTTCGATAGTCGACCACCTCCGTTGTTTTCTTTATCAGGCTGTGCGGGATTTTCCTCGAGATTTACGTCAGATGGGAGTTCAAGTGAGGGAGAGTTCGTCTGCGTTTTTCTCTTCCGATTCCGGCGTGATATTCGACGCGAGGGGGAGCGAGGGAGTGAAGAATCGGACTCGAACCCAGGGGCATATCTGAAGTTTTCAGGAGCAACACGTACTTTTCCATCTTCTGGTGTGACGAGAGGAAAAACTGAAGAACTGGGATGTTTTATGTCTACATTTTCCTTATTAACCTTAGTGTCTTTAGCTTTGGGGAAGCGTTCCGGTTGAGAGAAATTGTATTTATTTCTCAAAAGTTCTCTTTTATTTCCAAAAGACTTTGATCTATAATTGTTCAAAGTACGTATCCTGCCACTGTCATTTTTACCGAAGTTGTCCCCGGGTCCAAAAGTGGTCGATTTTATCTCCCCGAGGCCCAGTGACCCCTCTGAATTCAACGCCACCCCGATAGATTTTTCTCCTGAGAAAGTTGAGCCATGTGTCTGCTTCTCCTCTTCAAATTCTCGTGATTTGGACTTCGATCTGTGCAGTACTGAGCCATTTTCGTTCCGCCTATTTGTACTCGACATTTCTTTGGGTCGCTGTTGTGCGTTTCTACTCCGTGTTGGAATTAGCTCGGGGACGGTAACCTTATTCTTTATCCCACCGCGTCTTGCAGCAGCGTTCTCACGGTTTTCACGGAGGTTTTCATGGCTTGATGTTAACTTTTTGTCCTCGTCCCCCACTTCCACATTTTGCTTAATATACACCATGCGACTTATAGTGTTAAAATTACAACCCTGGTAGTGATCAGGATGGGCATAGTACTCCAGTTGCGTTCCGAGGGGTACCCCGTCTAGATCGTCGAGTTTCCCCTTGGCAAGTTTGTCTCTTTCGTGCTTCTTTAACTGTTCCTCAAAACTGAAGCCGCTCATGATTACGTCGTGTTCAGTGATCCCTGAGAAACTGCGATATAACCTATTTGGAATGGAATACAAGGAATACAATTAACGTTACTACAGATCCCTGTCTATTCACTGACGATTGTGTATCCATTGTAAATTTCAGCTCCCAAGGGGGTGACACTGCAGCGTCCCAACACCCAACAGGAATACAATTAATGTTTCTAAAGCGTCCGATCCATTGATCTATGTGTTTCCATTGTTAATGTCAAATCCCAACGGGGTTGATTTTCAGTTATTACACGAATAGCGTTTATAATTTATACCACTGAGTAAAGACTAATGAAATGTTAACTTCGTGTTTCCATCGTAAATATTACATCTCAAAGAAGTGTGTCACTCCGTTGTCAAGGAATCTTTAAAACGTAACAATACTGCACGTGCGGGCCGCCCTGGTTCATTTAGACTCTAAAGACATTGATACACGATATGTTTCCACATTGAATAGATAATATTCTATTGGATCTACATTGACATTTGTGATAAAAGGAAAGACGTTTTGAACTGTAGTTTTGAGGTATCTACAAATGACGAAGTCTCCTGAGTCGTCTTGGTGCATGAATGATGTGCGCTCAAGCAAACACGATCTATAGTTTTGACGCGTATCCTATGTACAGAGCACCGCGGTCTGATATTGAATCAGCTAGAAAAGGAGCCAAATTGGTATATGCGATTATCGTCTGCCAAAATGTACTGATTCACAAGTATCAAATGATTAATCACCAAGACCCCGTCGTTGAGGCGATGTTTATGAGGTACGAGAATCTTGACCGACTTTGTTTGAAAACATTCCCGTATACTTGAGGCTTTATTTTTTGTCCACATGAGAGATACTCATCCCAGATTTTCAATATTCACAGCAAATTGCCAAAGGGTTGTCATAGCAGCATAGAGAAAGTCCTCCTTGATTTTTCGATGAAGAAATTAATACTGTCACAGTCTATTTCACTACAGCAGATATGTTTATACACGTCTTCATAATCAGCTCTTCTTCAACAGGGCAGTGCAATTTCAGTGCTTAATTATGTAACACGCTCAAACTTTCCATTTTCCTGACTCTCCTGTCCTGGACAAAAAATTAATCGATAAGTTCTCCTTCTGTTCTCTGTAACCCTTTACATAATCTTGTGTAGATAGTTTTGACGATCTCTTTTGTAATCTTCATCTATGTCTCAACTTAGCCCTATGTCGTATGGCGTTTTAAAACTGAGTATAAACGTACGTGCAGGCATCCTTGTTCTGAAACATCGTTCAACTCCCCGTCGCTATTTTTGATGGTGCCATGACACTGATCAGGGCTAAAGCTGTTACAACAACGATACAAGAGTGTTTTTCAATATTCTTGTTGCCATGACAACAAGTTTGGTAACACGACCCCGGGTTACAAAGCGCGTCTGGATCTGCTTTCCTGAGTTTTTAACATTCGGTGGCTCGTTTTCTTTTTCCAGCGATTTACTGTATCGACTGGATTTAGACGTAACAACGACTGAGATGTTGCGCAAGTTATTTTCAAAACAGGCAGAGTTCCTGCCTGAAAGTTTTAAATCAGATGGACTAGGCTTTCTGTGCATGCTGTAAAACGTCTTTGTTGCTAATAAAATTTTACAGCAAAGCTAGATTTTTATTTGCAGTGGTATTAAGTGCAAATTGATTAAAGCTCTTACAAAGACGCCTTAAGTAGGTTTTATTTTGAAGAAATACTTTCAAAGTAGTTAAATTTTCATCAGGATGGCTGCAACCCGCGGCTGCTTAGCGATGAAACGACGTTATTTATTAATACAGCGTGCCACAATAAAACACGGCTTAATTCGTTTTTCTATAAAAGCGAGATTTCCGCTCATATTTTCGGCGTGTGAATGACAAAGGCCGACCCTGCCATCGCTACGCCATTCGATCCAAAGATCATCATCTGAAAGACCCTCTTTTGAAAGAGAACGGAGACCACAGAGCTTCCCTACCCATTATGAATGGTAAATATTTACCGATGTACTCTACTCACACTTCAGAGGCTATTTCAAGATCCCGAGCCTTGTATCAAAGGCGGACAGGTGTGACCAGGCGACTACTTGATATATATTCGATACATACATTCGATGAGGCGTTCCAAGTATTACAAGATTTGATTAAAGCTTTACTAATAGTTCTTACCTTTCAAAATTCTTTATAACCGATGAATGGGAAATGGGGAGGGGGGGGGGGCGAATCCCTGTGACACGTTTATCAACTGCGATTACTCATCATTTTTTTTATTGTTTATTTCCTTTTGGGAGTGGAGGGCGATTTTAAAATACTTGTATGATAGAAGATATCAGACTCGAGACCGTTTCGATTTCTTTGTTTTTATTTCACTTAATCCAGAGAGGAAAACATTGGTTAGTACTACGTAGATCAAAATATTATCGATTTGCGAATCTAACAGTGCTACATGTATCATAGCTGTTCTACCGTACATCGTTTAAAAATATACACGGTTTATAAGGCAAGATAAGGAATATGTGTCAAAATCTAAACAAGAACCTCACAATTGATGAAAAAAGAGAAAAATATACAATAGGGAATGCATTTTTCTTTGTATATAAAACAACACATTTGTATCGATGCACAGATATACTTGTCCACTGATGTTGAATATCTTCAGTATATTGTGTGGTACACAATTCTTATGCTTATGTGTTAAACATTCAGAATTCTATGTAGAAAGGAGAACGCATATTGTCACAAAAAAATACTCTATTGCAGAAAATATGCTCTATCACCTTGGCCTATTCAAATTTAAGTGATATTTTGTTTAGTGTTTCTCATTAGCAAAGAAAAAATAATACAAAACAACCATAAATGCATGTCACATGCGATATAAATTGGCAAACATGTAGCTTTTTTAAAAAGTTGAAACTGTACAACAAGAAATATTTTCAGTCTTTTTAAACATACAGAAAAATAAAACATATTTCAAAATCAAGACTTGACAGTTACTGTAAGAGAGCCATTTTATCTTTCACAATAACTGATTAAAAATAATATACTATGTATATAAATATTGTACTAACATTCACTGCATTAACAAACTTTTAAAGATCATATGCAGTGACTGACAATTGTAAAATAATAAAATTGCCAGAACATCTGTAGAAGTTCTGTGGCCCATTTTAAACAGCTGATCACCTAGACATTGACATCCCTTGTAATACAACAGTTTACACAACAGAAATCTTGGAGATTCACCCTCTCAAACATCCTATCATACACCCTACCACCCTGTCATACACTGCATATCTTACCAAACCATGTATCCTACGAAAACATGCCATGGCACATATCCTACCAATTAAACCATATCATGGCATATATATCCTATGAAACCATGTCATACTATACATCTTACAAAACCAATTCAAGGCGATTATCTTATGAAAATGTATGGTTATTTATATTCAGTCCAATTTTCATTCATTACACAACAGCAGAGTTCTCAAAAATAATATCAGTACAAATTGAGAAAGTATTTCCATGGCATTTCTGTGTATCTGTAATGATAAATGATATGGCGCAGTCAATGTTAGTACTAATAAGTAGCCCTATGCCAACCGAACGCCAGCACAATTTTCAGCCAGTTCAGTAAAATTTTGTACATTTCTCCGGTTGCTGGCCTTGGATTCTGCTTTGAACAATTAAATTCTTAGGCCCCAGTGTCCTTGGCAACAAGAGTAAATTTTTGGTGCAGACTGAGTATTTGAATAAAGTGATACAGTAGTCATTCATATGATATGTTATATGACAAGTTGTGATCCTGTGCTTGATAATTATAAACTATGAAAATCACATCAACTGCTATTCATATTATGGTAGACTGTTAAACAAAATATTTACTGGCAAATTTCTTGTCAAAAAAATTCTCAAAATATATTTAAAAAGTTTATTTTTCAGATCATTCTGAATATAACTATAAGTCCTGCATCTCTCAGAAAAGGACCCATAAAGTACACAAATATATACTACTGATACATAAAACACGAGCACCCAAATTGCTCTTTTGTGTCACATTTGAACATTTGATCAATATCACCAAATAGCAAAAAAATATTACATCCTAACTGGTACAGAAAAACTCTACAATTAGCACCTGTAAACCCACCATGTTTAATCCTTAGAGGAGTTTTAACTTCCAGGGCTTCATCAACGGAGAATATTATACCAATAAGAAAATTGGTAAAAAAAAGTTCAACATTACTATAGAGACTTAACACATTTTTAGCAAATTCCATGAGGCATGACATAAAGACATCACAGGGCTTTGATCACATGACTGTCATGTCTGATGTGAGCTCCGTAACTCGAAAGCAGCGTGAATTGCAACTGAGTGCAAGCATGGAGATTCGCCTATATTATATAACTTGGGATTTACTGGCCCCAAATAACGGCCTCGAAATGAAAGGTGATATCACTATCGCAATTCTGTGATGCTTTCAAATTACCGAGCCCTGATGTGAGCTCTGGAGGTAAATGGGGGAGGGGGGGCTTTATAAGAAAATTGTTACAATATTGTACAGCTCTCGTCTACCACTGGCACTGGGGGAAGAACTTCTGCCGGGGGCTCTGTGTAGGTGCCTGCCAGGTATACTCTGAAATAGGAAAGATCTGATAATTTAAAATAATCATTTCAAGCACATGATGTAATATTAGAGTGCATTACCATAGATTTAGATCGATCCACCTAGACTGACCTAACTCCCTGGGGGTTCAGGCTAAATTGATGTCAGCCGAGCATGCACAGTAGTTAATTACCCCCTTACAGCTTTTAGTATGCGGGACAGACGCTTAAGCCAGCTAAGCGGACAGTAATCTAGTGAGACTCTCCACAGATTTTAGATCGATCTAAAATCTGTGGGAATGGGGTCTTAGAAATTATACGGTGCTTTTCCTGGGAGGGTACACAGGCTGTCCAAAATTACCAACTGTAATTTCTTACAAAATTTCAGGGAATCCAAGTATGCCTGAAGGCATAATATTTCCAAAAAAAATCCATAAGCCATCCAGCCATCTTTGAAATATAGGTGATCCAGCGATGCTGGGGCCATCCAAATGACGGCTGGATGGTTTGCTGGGAAAACCCCTGATGTAATATCAACCCAGTGGCTTATTTCATGAAAAGATTTCAGACTGAAAATGGGCCAAAACTTCCAGGTCAAATAATTATACTTTTACCTAAATAAACTGTGGTCCAATTAAATAAAACATTGTGCTTGTTTAAAAACAGAATAGATAAAACTAATGTCTCAGAATAATACTTTATCTAGGTGAATTGCTGTTAATTTATTTCACAATGGACCAATATATTTGTTTTAAAAAGTCCTTTTGTCAAATAACTCCCTGGCGTATTGTACCAACTGTACTTCTCAATGAGAATTCCTTACATGATGAAATCTGTTTTCACCCATTACAGTAGCTGTTGCTCAAAACATCAATTGCATCACTAACTTTCGTGCCCTCTCCCCCATCTATCCTTTCTCTCATTTATACTGTTCTCAAACATTGAACTTTTTCCTTTTTTGCCCTTTTTTTCTCACACACACACACACACACACACACACACACACACACACAGTCTCTCTCTTTGTCTCTCTCACACACTCTCTCTCTCTCTCTCTCATACACGCACACAAACACACACACACACACACACACACACACACACACACACACACACACACTACTACTACTAATAGTATGAATAAATAGGCTCATACACATCCTACCTGATGTAATACATTAAGTTATGTCTATACGGTCCTTGTGTACGACCTTCACTGTCAGTGGTGGTATACCACTCATTGCTGACTATAGTTCCATCAGAACCATATTTTCTGTCCTCAGCATCTGCGTGAATACGTCCTATTGTCTCCACAGTCACCACAGGTGCTGGAGAAAGAATTTATAAATTATAATTATAATCTAATAATTACACATTGCAAAAAAAAACACATTCAATATTATAATAATAATAATAATAATAATAATCCAATATAGTAGGTAAAAAGACCTGTATATACTAGTATATAACATGAAGACTCATGCGGTGAAAAAAGTTAAAGGCAGAGAAGAATTGTTTTAAAATAAAAAATCAAATCAAATCAAAGTAAGGTATACCGTAAATGTGCCATGTTCAAAACATGGAATTTGGTCAAAAGAAAGGACTGAGAACATGTTAAACAAACATGTGTGGATTAATTTACAGCCAAAGTTGTACTTATTATCATAAATGTAATAAGGTTGTTTGACCTTTAAATGTAACAGGAGACCCCATACTTTCTTACCTCGCACTGCATTCAACCACGCTATAACACGAACCATAGTCTGGTGAACGTCTTCATAAGACCTATCTGACCCACAACATCCATCTGCTGCATAGAGAACAGGCAAGAAAGTCTTGTAGCTGAGGGGTGCTGTGAGATTAACAGTAGGGGGCGCCACAATGGCTCCTCTTGGCTTGGCATAGTGGACTCGAATGAAGGCTACTTCTGTTTTTGCTTCCAGTTTAGATTCAAACAGAGTCATACTCTGTAAATGTGGATCTTGAAATAAAATAAATAAATAAATTAATTAATTAATTAATATTAATTGCAGATAATTCCAAACCAATTAAGGCTAAAAATATTATTTTTTTACAATCCATAAGCAATTGAAAGATAAATGTTGTTTACTAAAAATCAGTATATACACATAATCACAGGTGCGGATTTAGGCCATCTTCTGGGTCTTCTTCAAGTTTTCATTGACGGGTATCTAAACTTTTCTGTCGGAAGACAGTCAAAAATGGAGGATGGATCAAAAAAGATAATTTGGAAGCCTGTCGAAAAATATTTCTGGACCCGCCCCTGTAATCATACACTGTATATACTGGCACAGGTGCGATCTTACATTAAGTCGGCATCAGCAAAAGTTATCTAGTCACACGCAATAATATTACTTTCTTTCATTTACTTCCATCTGATAATATACAAATATTTTCATCAAAATCTATTTCCTTACCCCTTGTTTGGTGATATTCAACATCAAGAGTCTGCAAACTCAAAAAGCGGACACCCTAAAAAAAAAAAAAAAAGAGATTGCCATTTAGCTGAAATTCTTTCAACAATGATCAAAACTAAGATCAAGCTGGTTCTATTAAAACTAACCCACATTAGAAGTTCCAATGAGGTATCTAGTCACACACAATATTACTTTCTTTGAGTATTTGAGGACATTCCTACACCTGCCTTTCTGTTTATTTGATTCCTATGACATTCTAAAAATGCAATGGAGGTAAAGACAAGTTTATTTAACCCATGACAGTGAAAATAATTAACTCCTTCTAATTTCTAACACAAAAAATGGGTTTACAGGTCATAATTCTGTGAATGGTTTTAGATGAGGTATACACTGTACCTTGGTGAATATGGGAAAAAACAGATTTTCTGACAAAACTAAATTTTGCTAAATAAAGGTGTAATGCAATGTAATAAGAAATGACTTACCTGATTTGATTGGAGCCAAACAGAAGCTTTTTGAATGGGAACTGATATATCTGTATACTTCATGCCAGAGAGTAGGCCAGGCTCTCTCAACAAGTCTGGTAGAAAATCAGCAGCACCTGAAACATGATACATAAAGTAAAGTAACTACCAAAAATTTCAAACATTTATCTTAATTCTTTAAGACTGGATTACCATACCTAGATCAATCTCCCAGGGGTTTCTTGCTAAATTGCTTTCAGCTTATGCAGCTTAGATGTCTGGCACACTTACTGAAGCTGCTAAACGATAATTTACTACCCCCTAGCAGCTTCAGTAGGCGTGACAGACATCTAAGCCACTTAATTTGATTGCAATTTAGCAATAATCCCCTCAGAGAAAAATTGATCCACAGTTAGAACAATAGGGTCTGGGTATGGTTCCTAATATTTCACTTCATCAATATAAACAATATTATACCTTGTAATTCAAAATAAACATATCTGTCCCATTATTTGGCAATGTTTTGGATTTGTGTAATCATTCATAACTTGATATTCAAGAATAAATAAATAAATAAATAAATAAATAAATAAATAAATAAATAAATATATAAATATCCTGGAGGATAATAAATAAATATCCCGGGGCCAACAAAAGCAATCCACATTCATTATACCATTACTAATAACTATTGCTTCTCGGCCTTTTGGCTAAAATCAAAATGTATTATTATTATTATTATTATTACCTATTTCTTCGTAAACAGCTTCTCCAAGTATGAAATATATCCTAACTGTTCCTATGCGGACTCTTTCGATGTGGTCATACCAAGCAGTCTGGTTTGGGTCCACATTGCCTTGAAGGTCCTTGAAAATGTGTCGGCCAAGTCGAAGGAAAACTGTCTCCACTGTTAAAATCTTGCCTAAAATTGGGTAAGTTAACTTCTAAAATAGTTCCAGAATTAAGAGTTCCAAATGGGATCTCTCTTGTGAAAACACACAAGACTAGAAAACGTGATGTGTAAGGTGGGACTGACTCCTTAGCAATGTCTTTGTAACTGTTAAAGAGGCATACAAACCGAGGGAGAGTGCTATGATAGTTGTTGAGATGATATAAGAATGGTGTCTAAAATTGTTTATCTTAAATAATCATCGCCATTAGATATGTATATTATTCGTCAAAACACAATTTTAACTTTATTTTTTGTCTGTTCTATGCATTTAGTTTTATGCTCTGCTGTCTTTGAAAACAGCTTATGCGTGTACAATTCATTCTCTGTGAGCACCTTTTACCACACCTTTTATTACTACTACTTTCAGGGATACCTAACTAAAACAAACCAGTGTGGCCAGTGTTGTCTCAGTGCTAGGTCTTCGAACGCTTAATGTCTTATTTACCCCTGTTGACATGCCATTGCCCTCTCTATTATAATCATACTTTTATTCCTGCAAGTTTTGTGTCATGCTCCCTAAAATGGCTTTCCCTAGTTTTTAAAGCACTTACCTTGCAGAGGATTCTGTAGCAGATAGCCATTAACTCTGTTATAGGTTTCCCCAAGATTTTCAAATTGTGCCGATTTGACATTTGTAAACTGGCCGGGAGTGAGAGAGACAGGCATGAAACTCATCACCCCAATCTGCTCTGGACGCCCGTCAAGATCTGTTCTCTCTCCCAACCATAACCTGGAAATTGTAGTTTCTTTAAATATATCACAGAAATTATGGAGATTTTTTAAAATATTTTCACAGAATATTTTAGAATGTTTGAATTTCCAGAACACTTTTTAAAAAAATGCAATAGTTACTGTGGATGAAAAATATTTCTATTCTTAAGAGACTACATTGCATTTAATATGAAGCATGATGTATTGACCCTTCAACATAAAAATAAAAGAATTACCATTTTTCAAGAAGAGACAATGACAAATTTACCAGTATCACATTAAAAGTAACTGTGCAGTTGCCTTTTTTCTCGAAACATAAAATCTCAAAATGTACTCTAAATGGCCAAGCCCACCTTGTCTTTTCTCTCACCTTAGTCCATATATACACAATGTTGTGCCACCACTTTTATAGTACATATTCCCATTGTAGATGTCATCAAAACTGTTGACTTTTTTCATCAGAGTTTCACATTTCTTCACCTGAAAGTTGATATTTCGACTCAACCACTGGTTTGCCTTCTGAACTAAAACCCTGGGAGAGAAAAAAAGGAGAGTGCTCATTTATTTATGCGACATGTTATGTAGTATTACAAAAAAAGAAATCAAATTGTTCTATAAATATATTCAACAACCCGAGTCCCACTGGGTTTAAGTGACAATGAGTACATGGGACTTCACTTGTGACATCAGCTCTCTTATTGAATTCACCTAATTAAGCAAACAAAAACACACGAAAAACACTGATTCTAAGTCATACAACAACCATTAAAAGCATTAATTTAATCTCCATTTCTTTTTAAATGTTTATCTGTGGAAGAGTAATATGCTTCAGAAAAGACATTAATCTCAGTTTCTAGTCACAGCAACTATCACTGTTATGCCTGGCCTCATCTGGCTGCTACTAGGGATCTGAACATAACACAACTTACTCAAATGTCTCAAATTCAGCTCTCTTCAGTTTCTGTTCCGGGGTGGTACACACTGGCCAAAAGTCAACATAAGTCAGTGGTACCCGAGGAGGTAGCCCAAACTGGGTACGCCCCCCTGTTACTTGCTCATAAGAAGGAGGAGGTAGTACCTTGTCTGAAGTATGACCTGCCATGTTGTAAGGAACCTACAAAGATATAAATACGGTAATGTGCCATGAATTTAAAATGGCTCCTAAATTTCAAACCAGATTAAAATCGGCCATCTGGAGTTTTCTATGGACCATGAATTTCAACCAGTAAGCAATTTTCCACAATCTTGATTTTCGTGAATTTAGTATCAATATTACATGGCATCATGCACCTGAGTGTAAGATAGCCCAATTAACAAAAATTTCAAATAGTACATGTATTTACAATTTATAAAACAAAAACTATATGTTCCACTAAATCATTTTAGCTGAAAGGAGAGTGAACATGGCCACAATAAGCATAACCGGCTAAAATGTCTGTCACACCTAGTAAAGCTGTTAGGGGGTAATTATCTTTACCCCCTAGTTGATAGCAATTCATTGAGGCTCCCCAGGGAGATAGACTGATCCAGATGAATCCATCTTGGCATGGAAATCCAGTCTAACTGTATAACAGTTCAAGTGAGTATGCAGAGTTACAATGTTTACTGTATGTACATACACGTATATTGAGACCAAATTTGATTTATTCTAAATAACCCCCTTACTTTTTTCATAGGTACTCAATGAATGTAAAAAGAGTATTAGGTGTGAACAGAAGCGCTGAAGAATGAATTTATTGTTCATGAATGTATTTATCGCTTGTTTGTACATTAATTATTATTAGTAGTAGTAACATTCAAAGTCACGTCCCTAAATCAAAGCCTTAATTTGTACACCAAGTAGCTGAAATACCTACCTTTTATAACCACTGATCTGATCTATGTCTGTTGTATTCGTGAATTACACATACAAATTGTAAGCACGGCGTTAATGTAAGGTGGTAATAAACAAACTGAGCAACAGCCGTAAAATTTTACAGTAAACATATCCGAGTTAACATCCTACTTCCGTGAAATTAAAGTTTCATGTTGCAATCTTCTGGGTCTTTTAAAATCGTCTTATTTTTCAATGAATGCTTGCTAACAAAACTAAAGAAAAGAAATCTGGGTTTTACAGTCGCGATGCGACAAAAAATAATAAGTTTTTAACCCAAATAGTCACACTTGCACCAGTTTTTCGGTCTTGTCCGTTTTGAGAGTGTGCGATAGTAGCCTCGTAATGAAAAATACCCTACTTCTGGCTCACAGCCACAACGAGGTTTTCGATTAGAAGAGACTGTTTTGGAAAACGACTCGTCGCCGAGTAAACGCAGGTCGCGGCGCACCCTTTTGCGGTTTGTTTGCAAACTTACCTGTACGTCACACACTACGATCATTTCAGTGAATTCTAACCTAAGTTTAGATTATGATTAATACGAAGGTGTTCAAAATATTACGCAGCCATCCGGGATTCCTCTGTCAATAGCGGATCCTAGGTGATGGAGGGGGGGGGGGGGGGGGGGAGTAACTTCTTGTAACGTTCACTTATGGTTCTCAATCAATTTTAGAACATTTGAGGTATTTTTTACAGTTCTAATGTTGTGCTGTAATGAATGTAATAGTTCGAGAAATGTTTTTGGGAAGTCCTACAGAGTGTCCTCGAACAGATTAAATTTTTTTTTCATCAAAAGGGGAAAACGTTATGTTCTAGGACAGATTGAGAACCGTAAGTTAACGTTAAATGAGACAAATTTTTGCAGGGATTGTGAAACCACCCCCGATGTGGCCTCTTTAATGAAAGGGCAGATCACATAGTGATAGACCGCTAATATCCCGCGAAGTGTATGCCAAAGTCCATCGACGCGATCCACATTTCTTATGTTCTGGGCCACTGCATTAAACGAATTAGAACATTTATGATTACTTATCATTTCTTTATTTTCTAAAGACTATTTGAAGTGAAGGACAATTTTAAATACGCATATGATAAAGGGTATCGGAGTCAGAACATCAAATTTTGTTTACTTTTATTTCACTTAATCCAGATAGGATTACTGCATGCATAGATTGAAATATTTTTGATTTGCAAATCTAACAGTATTACGTACTGTATCATAGTTGTTTTACATTTAAAAAAAATTATACGCAATTTATAACACAAGTAAGATTAGCAATATATGTGACACCATTTAAAAAGTACCTCACACTTTGTGTGAAAAATGCTGAAATACTGTTTGACGTAAATATCACAAACAATAGGGAATGCATATTTGTATCAATATACAGGGTTACCACTTAATATGGAATATTATTTTTTGGCGAGTAAATTTTCTACAAAATATTTAATTTCTCTCTAACTACTTTAAATCCAAAGCTGAGGTGTCACTCCATGTGTAGCCAGGTGTGTTACCTAATTACCACACAACTCTCGAAACAATTGATGCATGCAGTTGCATGTTCTGTGGTCAGAAATGTCAGGGTTGGATTTTTTTTTTTTAATAACAAAATGATATAAAACGGATTCCTATGAATATTGATGACTATCTCCAAATATCCAAAATAAAATTATAAATCAACCAGGACACGATAGGAATTATAACAATTACGCATTCATTAACTCTCTGACCTGATATGACACCTTCAGGAGGGCGGAGACATGTGGCCCCTCAGCCTGTCTTGCATTACTTAGGCGCCATCTATCGGGCAGTATTGATGTAGCACGTTGCACCCTTCACTTTCTTACCGGTTGCGATAAGGTAAGTAAAAGATTCCTCTTACTTCCCAAAAGTTGATGCAAACCGATATATTTTGTGGGTTTTTATAAACGGGAATCTGCTTACTATTTCGTTAAAGACCATTCAAGAAATAGACAATCTTATTAGGCTAAATTGTGATGCGCTCATAAACCAGACTTTCACATTTCTAATGCCAGGCCACTTCATGTAAGTGAAGAGAAGGGGTAAACTACTGTACAAAATAAACCCTGGGTCGCACTTGCTAGGTCCTAGATGTTGACAAAGTGCACGTTATTTTTTAAAGACAGTGCCAGGCACTAAATTGGATAGGACAGAACACACTGTACTTATTTTGTCAGCACTGTTATAGCCACTTCCTTGCTCTTCTTATCTTTCATGCTCTGCATGCAACGAAGTGGTAATTCCCCCTTAAGATAGTAAACCTATTTTTTTAACAGACCAATCCCTCTTTTTACATGAATCCTAACTGAAAAAAGCACTTGGTGACTTTTCCACATCCCTGGCAGATAGCTAGGAAAACTTTTTCACTTTAGTGAATGATGATGTTATAACTTAGATGAGAACTACACTTGGATGCAATATCATCTTGTAACAGAAAAAAAACCTGTCAGCAAGAACCTGGTTTCAGGTGGTAGATTTTGGTATTTGCTGCCTATATTTTCTGAATAATGAACAGTTTAACATCAGAGGCTCTGCCACCCCATGCTTTGAAAATGAAGTTAACAGAACCAGGAGGATAGCAAGAAATATAAAATTTCATCATAGTGTGTTTTTTGTAATTGCTATAAACCTGGGCATGAGCTAGAAAGTTTTGGGGCAATTCAGTAAGACTTCAAAACTGTCTATAATTGAGGTTAAGTGTGGAAATTTCCATTTAAACACTGATGGAATTGACTTAAAAACTCTGTCCCTTTCACTCCATTTAATCATGGAATCTAGCTTACTATACAATTAAATCCATCCACCTCCAGAAAATGTCAGTGAGTTATGACTGTTGATTTAGGTATACCCTTCACATGTCCCAGAAACGCAAACGTTAAATTTTTTGATGCAATTTCACAAGTGTTAAATACAACGGTTTTTTTTTTTTAAATTTTTTTTTTTTAAGGGTAGACTTGAACCTATCAATCCCGGCTGTAAAAATGTACTTAGAAAAGTCAAAATATGCATTCATGAACATTGTCCATGAAAGTCCAGTCATCATTTTGCAAGCACTGTCATTGTGTGGCAAATGAAGTAAGAGTCAGTAATTTTTCCATACTCTGAATCGGTGCATATGCATCATCCCTCTTTCCTAAGATTTTCAATTTCTATGTATGATTCTGCTCTTTCCATTTCACTCAGTAGATTGTCCATTTCTTGGGGATGTCCTTATCCTAGACAGGTATTCCTGAATAAACAGCACTCGGCTCACCGTCGATTGATTCCTGCGTCATCATATCTCGGCCGTATGACAGACGTCGACATTTTGGAAGTAGTGCAAACTACTCTAGATACCCGGATGTAAACAATAATAAACATGGCGGCGCCCTGATAGTACACGCAGCTATGCCTACTCTTCTCAAATTTGAAATCTGGTCTTGTATTAGGGAGTTTAGTGGGGAAACCACCAAGACGATCATCGGTTGTTTTTTCTTGAGTTTATGTTGGAGAAACCAAGGCAGCAACTGAAAAATTATGCTCTTCCCATAGCCAGTTGGTAAAATGGACACGCAGTCTTTTCCTTCGAACAATATCCTCAGTGTTTCCAGTTGTTTTTCACGTAGTTTGAAGTCTTGATCTTTAAAAAGTGGGCAATTAGTGCATATTCAATACATTCGTCAAATGACGCCATATTTGTTAGATCCACGTGTTTTGGGGGAACTATATTGTTTTGATTGCGGTATACATTAGTGATGCGGCGCCGTCCATCCGGGTTCTTGACCTGATCACATATGTTGTGCGTAGGCGACATTTTTTACTGTCATACATCCGAGACTAGTTTCAAGGCGTTCGGAAGATAGCCGGAAATTGTCGAGGAGTTCCGAAAGAATAAACAGTAGTATTGGTGAGAATTACTGGATTAAAAATGCATATTGTAGACAAATACAACTTAAATCAAACCATATATTATATTATATTATATTATACACGTGCCTAACTCTATGCTTTGTGACGTCTGGGTAATGGTGTCATTCACATACCTTCTTCAGAAGTGGACGTTTCTGTTGTGGTGACAGTACTAGTAGAGGTATCATCTACATCTTGAGGCTGGGAGCATTCTGTCAAATTTTGTTTACAGCTCTTCCTTGGCCATGTCTATGTAACAGGATGATAGTTCGGGTTTGATATTGGTTTATTCTCATACAAATATCTCTAAAAATATTATATACAAATTAATTTTAACTAATGACATGAACAAAACATAAACAAAAAGTAAGATTAAAGACATGGAAGGCAGAACAAAGAGAAAGAAAAATATAAGAGTTTAATAAAACAAGCAATGCCAAAATCTGAGCTTCTATTTGTAGCACATGCATAATACCCCATGATAAGAACAGACTTATCATCAGTCTTTTTGTTACCGGGAATGATTAACTCAACTCAAGTGGCTGGTTCAAAGTTTATTCTGACTTCCAAACCAATAACATAATATTAAATAAAAACCCTAAAAGAGATGTACAGCGACATTTACAATACAGTCGAAATAAATATATTATACTGACAATTTAACGTTTTCGTTAAATTAAGAAATACTAGTCTTACTATAAATGACAGATTACACGTATATAGATTTACACAGTGATAACCTGTACATACCCCAATGTCAGAGAGGGAGTTTTAAGTGACTAAGACGGAGGATAAACTAGATGATTCTGTAATCTGAGGCTGAAAAAAAAATGAATAAGAGTAGTTGAGAATTATTTATTACTCACTGATGAGAATTTTCTGACTTTTGTCGGTAATCTGACCGTTACAAGGTGATTTGGGTCATTCTTGTGTACCGCGGACCCCCGGCCAGTTTCCCTACTCTTTCAGTGAGGACTGGTCTCATTCCTCTTACTATATGTGTAAGCATTAAAGCAAAAACCATTAATGAAGCCCCACACTTTATATTTAAGGGCATTCTGTGAGGCAATTGAAGCGTCTCGCCTCTGATTGTGGTAGACATAGCAGTGTAGTGGCACTGCCTACTGGGGGAAGGGGAGGGTGGAGTGGTTGCAGAAAGTGATTTTTGGTCAACAAGTGACCTTCATCAGCTGCAAATCCCTCCCCCCCC